TGTAATACTTTTATAATTATGTAAACTTTTTTAATTAAATAAATTTAATAGTAAATATAGTAATAGTTGTATTTTTTTAAAATATATGGAAATTTTAATCTTTAATATTAAAAAATGGTAAAATTACACTTATATCTGATAGTTTATCCAAACATGCAAAACAAGGAATATTTTGAATTAATAAAACACAATGTAAGCATTTTATTCAACCAATAACATCAACTCCAACAACACCTACATGCCCTTAAGCACACCACAACAATTTAAATAGAAATACGTCTCCATAAGAACAAGAGAGTGTTGCATTCGAACTCCGAAGCAAATTTGCATCTGAAGTCCAATGAAAAATTGACACGTGATAAGTGAGCCCCACTGCAAGACATGAGGGCCACTTGCCACATGACAAATTTTCACTGGACTCCTCCGGATGTGGGGCCCAGATACAAAATTTTTTCCATGACAATACTTATTCGACATTTAAAGATATTTCTTCTCACCTCAAATACTTATACTGTTGGGAATACCCTTAGCAGTGATCCCACCTTCACTATAAGGCGACAGCAACGTATAAGGCATCTGAGCCGGTCCCCTCCGGTTCTTCAGAACCGGATCGCGGTTCAACTCATCGATCCGCTTCTCAATCTCCTTCAGCCTCGAACCGAACCGGTTGAACGCATCATTGACCCGAGCATCCCTGGCCCACTCTCCGCTGGCCCGCTGGCCCAAATAAATCTCATCGCTGGCGTGACTGGACAGGACCTCGATCAACGAAATGCCGATGATGGTCTGAATCTGGTTCGTGATGGTTTTCAGAAGGACTTGATCCGGGTTTTTTTTGAGTTCGGCGAACTCGGGTGAACCGGGTTGGGGCATGAACCGGCGGCTGGCGGTGGGGCGGTTGGGGAGATAGCCGGCGTAGGGGTACTGGCCGAAGTTAACGGCGGCGTGCATGGCGGAGGCGATCCAGATGATGGTGGTGGCGATTTGGACTAGGTGGGGGAGGGAGGTGAGGGGGGGCCACCAGGGTTGGTGTTTGTGGTCGCCGTGGCCGACTTGGCGGAGTTCGGTCCACCATGATTGGAGCTCGGAGTCGTGTTGGATGGAGACTTCGGAGGGGTAGTAGAGGGAGGTGTATTCCAGGACCCAGCTTTCGATGGCCGACCACACGGAGAGGCCGTCGACGGCATAGGGGTAGTCGGGAATCAGGAGACGGAGGCCGTGCGGGGAAGATGCGTCTTTTTCAGCGATTCCCCTGCAAACGAGCAAAAGTTGGGTTTTTTATCATATTTGGATTTATCTAGATTCTCTTATATAT